CTCCTGATGATGGCTCCCTTCCTGCCTCCTGATGATGCCCCCTTCCTGCCTCCTGATGATGGCTCCCTTCCTGCCTCCTGATGATGGCTCCCTTCCTGCCTCCTGATGATAGCTCCCTTCCTGCCTCCTGATGATAGCTCCCTTCCTGCCTCCTGATGATGGCTCCCTTCCTGCCTCCTGATGATGGCTCCCTTCGTGCCTCCTGATGATGGCTCCCTTCCTGCCTCCTGATGATGGCTCCCTTCCTGCCTCCTGATGATAGCTCCCTTCCTGCCTCCTGATGATAGCTCCCTTCCTGCCTCCTGATGATAGCTCCCTTCCTGCCTCCTGATGATGGCTCCCTTCCTGCCTCTTGATGATGGCTCCCTTCCTGCCTCCTGATGATGGCTCCCTTCCTGCCTCCTGATGATGGCTCCCTTCCTGCCTCCTGATGATGGCTCCCTTCCTGCCTCCTGATGATAGCTCCCTTCCTGCCTCCTGATGATAGCTCCCTTCCTGCCTCCTGATGATGGCTCCCTTCCTGCCTCCTGATGATAGCTCCCTTCCTGCCTCCTGATGATGGCTCCCTTCCTGCCTCCTGATGATGGCTCCCTTCCTGCCTCCTGATGATGGCTCCCTTCCTGCCTCCTGATGATGGCTCCCTTCCTGCCTCCTGATGATGGCTCGCGACTGCTAAGCTCTCGCCCATGTACTTGTGTTTGTTACTCCCCGCCTTGTCATCTCCCGACATACATACATACATACATACATACATACATACATACATACATACATACATACATACATACATACATACATCTCCACCCGTCCGCAGCTCTTCGTCCTGGTCCCGTGTGGAGACCTACCTACTACTGCTGATCGGTTTGCTGTCCGCGTACCACGTGCTGATGCTGGGCTTCGGAACGGCGCACTGTGCGCTGATCTTAACGGGTAGGTGCCTGGCCGGTTGCATGTCTGGTTGCCTGCCTTTCTGTCTGTCTGTCCGTCTGTCCGTCTGTTGCCTAGTCATGTGCGCTTGTCCAGGTGGCAATGTATGCGTGGAAGTAGATATACAAGGCAACGTAAAAGGGTATCTAAAATATATATACCCTTACAGGGATCCAAGTCAAATACTGCTGCGATTACAACTTTGGACCTTCAACACCCCTTTCCTGGCGCATCCCGGCATTAACGTTGCCCGCAAACCCGCTCCTCGCGCAGTACTGCACCTGTGTAATCTGTCGTACCAGTGTGCCCCTCGCGTTAACTCCAACCTGTCCGCCCATCTGGTGCTGTGCCGCTTGTTCTGAAACCCGCACCACCTGCACTGCTGGGGCCCCGCTTCATCATGGCAGACATAACCACAAAGGACTGGATCAACGGTTTCGGAGCGCTCTGCCGCAACCCGCCATGTCTACCGGGAGCCCGCAGCCCCCTGGCGCTGCTGCTGCGGGCCTACCCCGCGCTGATGTGCGGACCGGTAAGACTGCGGCCTGATGCGTTGGCATGTTGCGGTGACGTCATCACTTCCGGCGCCGACAAACCGCCATCTCCCTTTTCATCAACATCTGGGTTGCCGGCCCTTCATGGTGCTGGTGGTGATAGCCAGACAGGCACAGATGCGTTGGCTGAGCCTAGGGGTTGGAACCAGCAGCCGCAGCGGCAGCAAGCCATACCCGCAGTAGTAACTCCAGCTGCAGCTGTCCTGGAGGCGAGGAGCGGCGGCCTGGCATCTCCTTCAGAGGGTTTCGGAGCCGAGGTGGAAGTAACGGCCGCTGGGTTGCGGCAGCCGCAGCCGCATCAGTGCGCTGAACCCCAAAGCCAGCAGCAGCAGCAGCAGCAGCAGCAGCCACAGAGGCGTTCAGCTCCTTGGTTGTGGCGTGGGGACAGGCAGCTAGGGGTCGAGGGGAGTGGGGAACTGGGCACAAGGGATAGCAGCAGTAGTGTGGCGCCGTTGATGGGAACCGACTAGCGCATAGGCGGGGTCGTTATACCTGGGTGCAGGGAATGGGGAACCCGTGGGTCGATGCTGCTTCGTTGTTGTAGATTTTTGAAACTCATCATGCAAGGGAATTCGTTTAATGTTTATTTATGGAACGAATTACTGTCTATTGGACGAGCAAGGATTAAGATTAGTGTAGTGTTGTATGTGCGCCGACTGCTGGAAGCTAAAGTAGAGAGGCGGATGTAGCTGAACATGTGGACATACAGACAGCCACCAGCGACCAACACTGGCGGCGGATATACATGACGTATACATATGCGCTGTGCCTCGCTGGCAAAAGAACAGGGTAAGGGTGGTTTCTGATGCTCTCGTTGCTAGTCAGCAAACATAGTTGCACGTAGATGTGCATATATGTAGGAGTGGTGGTGGTCTTCTCCTTCCGCTTCAGTTTTTGGCTGGAGGAATGAAAATGTACGGATCGGCCTCAATTCATTCCCTTTTTCCAAAGGCCAAAATGCCTGTTTATTCCTTATAAGGAATATATTACTTAAAAAAAACACTGGCCAGAGGTACAAAATCCAGGCGACACGGAAAAACGACTCTGTTAGAACTGCTGCACACACGTTAGAACGTATGTACCTAGAGAACCTACAACCTAGATCCCTCAAAGCGGGCAGTTTCAATAACAACGAAAGACCATTGATGAGCCTTTCTTGCATGGATACATGTTGTGTATGGTACATTCGTTGATAATCGGTGGGCTGCAATGCTGAAATCGCAGGAAGAACCCGGATACTAAATGAGCCTTAGTAATTATTAAGCCACGCCCGATTGGGGAACGACTTGGTCATGGACGGGTTTTCCAGTCAAGGATCCGGTCATGTCTGTGGTCATGGATCCGGTCATGTCTGTGGTCATGGATCCGGTCATAATTTGTCACTAAGTCATGGATCCAGTCATGGAACAGTTCATAGTTTGCAAAAGCCGAGTGCAGGATATGACTGGTAGGGGTCATAGAATGTCTGCGATTCGTGATGTCAATTTATGAACAATTGGATCCCTTTATGACCCCAGCCAGTCATGGCTGCGCTTTATGGCCCCAGGGGGTCATAAAAGTGGGTCATATACCTAGGGTCGTCGTAATATATTCCTTAAGTGTGAGGCGCTGAGGGGGGCTCCGCCCCCTCCAGACCCCCCCAAGACCCCCCCGATAAGTTACAACTCCCCTCATAGACCAAGAGTCACGCACTGAGTTGGCGCGTTTTCGTTAATGTGCGCACTCTTCATGCACATGCATAGATAATTCTGGCACTGTTTGTGAGCAATAAGTAAATCCGGCCGTCACTCTTGCCCTTGCGGATGCGCTGTGTCTGAGCCCGCTTGGCACTGCGAGCGCTCGGGTTGGGCGCCTGAAATGGATCGCCGGCCTCGCCGCCTTCACTGTCGTTGTTGTCGAGCTGATTGGGTGACAGCTTGCGCTTAGGATGATCACACCCGCCATGGAAGGCAGGGGTGTTGGCGCCCGTGTCATCGGTCGCCGCTGGCAGCAACACGATTGCCGATGCATTACCGACAACAGCACCGCCATCCCAAACGCCTTCATCAGGAAAAATTTCAGGCTTATCTTGCTGTTTTGGTGTCTGTTCGACGTTCGAGTCGTTGCCTTTTGCGTGTTTGGCTATGTGAGGACCGGTCATACATTCTGCTATGCCGCGTTGACTTGACCTTCTTACGGCCCCTCATATCTATTCTATGATTGAAAATACTAAGTTCTGCACACTACGGAGCAATCTGGCAGCAATGGACGTTTTTGGCTGGAGGAATGAAAATGTACGTGTCGGCCTCAATTCATTCCTTTTTTCCAAAGGCCAAAATGCCTGTTTATTCCTTTTAAGGAATATATTACTTAAGAAAAAACGCTGGCCATGACCACTCTGGCCCACGTTTTGCACACATCCCATAAGTTATTCACTGTGGTCTTATGAGTCATGACCAGCAACCCATCATCCCGTGGGCTCCAGATCCCAAGTCAGCCATCACAAATAAATGTATGTACTCCAAGATTCCACACAGTTTAGTCTCAAAACCTCAATGTTTCGAAAATGTTCCAGGTAAAAACCCCTCCAGCAGCATCCTTTAAAGTAAACCAACTGTAGTAGAAAAGGCCTCTCGAGATGCTGGCGGTCGCGCTTAGCGCGTATTTGTATAGCCGTACTGTGTACCAGCTACTACAACCTGCAGCTTAACTACGTTCCTGAAGTACAATTAACTTCCACCATCTAATTAAACTTCACTCCTTGCAGGTCTCGATCCCAAAACCTCCAGGGGCATAAACGTGTGCACTACTAGTGATGCCTGACCCCATACATATCCCCATTTGCAACCAATCCATCTATTACAGCTAGCAAATTGTCAACTCCAGAATCCTGCTGCATGCCTGCTAACCCACCGCATTGCGCTTCCCCAGCAGTCTCTTCCTTGCTGGCCCCTGCTGGCCACCTTTGCCCAGCTTGGCTGCTTCTTTCACTGCACCTGCCCTGGCAGCTTGTTTCACTGCAGCAAGCTCAGCCCGCATCTGGTGAGCAGTGATGGCGGTGGTTTCATGGTCAGGCATCCCATATGCACCACCACCAGTGCCACCCGTCGCTATGGTGTCCCCATACTCGGCGATGGCATCATCAAGTCTCTCGCCAATCAGGTCCTCCATTAACGGCCGCTTTACATAATGGAACACATTCCAAAACGATAACAAATTTTCTGACAGGCGGCCGCGGAAGGCCTGCAGCGTCGACATCGCGGACGTAACACCTGACAGTCGCTTCCGAAGGGAGGAGGGTGGAGACGGCAGAGGTAGCGGTGGTGAAGGGCGCTATTTAGCAATTTTCCCCTTGGGAGGGCGTGGACGCGGTGGTGAAGGTGGTGGTGGTGGAACTGCAAAGACTCTGGGGCAAACATCTGCCGGCGCACTGCCCCCAAAGTCTCCATCACAATTCCTAGTCGTGAGCAGCGCCCAGCGGTTGCCCAGCTTGTTGACACAGGTCAGGTCCAGCCGTCCATCGCCATCGCAATCGAGCACCCGAAACACGTCCTCCATTTCCACGCTCACGCACCAACCGGCAGGTGGTGTGCAACCTTTCCCAGCACGCAGCCAATGTGTTTGGAAAGAAAAGGGAAGGTGTACAGACGGAGGAAGTGAGGTTAGTTGGTTAGTCAAACAACCACTTGCTCATCGACTGGGCCCCGTTCGTACAAACCCGGTTGAGTTTAAATCCCCATAATCCCTTATTCATGCCCTTGGATGTTACACAGGACCCGACCCTAGCTCTTACGCTAGGACACGATGTTTTTATGATTAAAACAAATCTACACTTGCACGGCAGCGTGCCGCATGCAGTTGCACGACAATATTACAACATACACATCATGTCCTCTCAGACAGAAGAGTGCTCCATAAATATTCCATTCCTTAAAGCCCGGGCTTCGGGCACCAAGGCCATGCTAACCTGTGAATGTTGGTGAAGGTGGTGTTGAAGGCGGCGGTGGTGGTGGAACTGCAAAGACTCTGGGGCAAACATCTGCCGGCGCACTGCCCCCAAAGTCTCCATCACAATTCCTAGTCGTGAGCAGCGCCCAGCGGTTGCCCAGCTTGTTGACACAGGTGAGGTCCAGCAGTCCATCGCCATCGCAATCGAGGACCCTAAAGACGTCCTCCATTTCCACGCTCACGCACCAACCGGCAGGTGGTGTGCAACCTTTCCCAGCACGCAGCCAATGTGTTTGGAAAGAAAAGGAAAGGTGTACAGACGGAGGAAGTGAGGTTAGTTGGTTAGTCGAACAACCACTTGCTCATCGACTGAGCCCCGTTCGTAAAACCCCGGTTGAGTTTAAATTCCCATAATGCCTTATTCATGCCCTTGGATGTTACACAGGACCCGACCCTAGCTCTTACGCTAGGACACGATGTGGTTAACATTAAAACAAATCTACACTTGCACGGCAGCCTGCCGCATGCAGTTGCACGACAATATTACAACATACACAGCATGTCCTCTCAGATAGGATGAGTGCTCCGTAAATATTCCATTCCTTAAAGCCCGGGCTTCGGGCACCAAGGCCATGCTAACCTGTGAATGTTGGTGAAGGTGGTGTTGAAGGCGGTGGTGGTGGTGGAACTCCCTACAAACACGGAGGGGGGTTAAGAACGTTCTTAACTCGTTCTTAGCCCAGCCAAATTGATAAAATTGAATAACCATTAGAACGTTCTTACACCGTTCTAAGAACGTTCTAAGAACGTTCGTAAGGCATCCGTTTATCTTAAAACCATTCTTTGAAATTCTTTAGCATTCTTTGGGGCCCAGCAGTCTTAGGTATTCTCTTCCATTCTTTGGGGTGTTCTTATTCGTTCTTAGACCAACTTAGTGTTAAAGCATACTTAGCTGCTCTTTGGCCGGTTTTAACCATTCTTATCATAGGGTTGCTAAGTATGGCACTCGTTCTTAAGTCTCATTCTTAAGAAATAAAACCACTCTTTACCATTCTTTAGCATTCTTTAGGGCCAGCAGTCTTATGTATTCTTTTCGTTCTTTGGGGTGTTCTTATACATTCTTAGGCCAACTTATTCATTCTTTGCCTAAAGCATACTTAGCTGCTCTTTGGCCGGTTTTAACCGTTCTTACCATAGGTTCGCTAAGTATGGCACTCATTCTTAAGTCATATTCTCAGGAAATTCTTTTTGCTGCTTACATTCTTAAGCCTTAAAAAATGTGGGATTCTTAAGGGTCATGATGAAAATTCAAACACACGTTCGACCTCTGCATCTC